AAAAAAGCTTAAATCAATTTCCAAAAGTAGGCAGTCACCTTAAGCCTGATATAGTGTTAAATCATAGCAAACCTCAAATTTCTCAATGGCTCAATCTTGTCTCTACAGGAAGATGTTCACAGCCAACAAAGGCTTCACAAGGAAAAACCAATAAATCTCTTATCACTTCATCATTTCCTTCATCAAAGGTATTGAAAGAGAATACTAAGAGATGTTAGCCACCTTATATTCCTAATAATTTAGAGGGGCCGATCTAAGAGTGGGGTGTAGCCTTGTGCACACCATCATCCCCCCACCCCTCACCCCCCACTCCTTAGATGAGCTGATAAACTGCTGCTTGACTTTGTTAATGTCCTGACCATAAATGGTGTACCTCTCCTAAAAAAATCCTGTATCTGAACCTGAATCAGATTGTAACTACACCTCCATCAAAGAATATAATTAGGCCTTGGATTTCAGCAGGATTTTTCGTTTAATTGTTAGAATCAGAAAGGCTGGATATCCTCATCCTTTGGTGGATTTAAGGAAACAAGTTCATCCAGTGCAGCGATATCAAAGAAAAAGAAGATACTACAGAGTGATGGATCATCATCTGCCACAGGTAACATAGCTGGAGCTAATCAAGTCCTGCAATAATCTCTTATTTATAATACTTAAGGTAATAGGGATTTTTTAAACTTGTTTTATGTTTCAGGAAACAATGGTCAGTATAGTAAAAGTAGCATTAAAAATGAAGAACTTTGGATTGACAATTACAGACCAACATCCGAGGTAAAATACAAATTAGATTTGCCAATTGGCGCATGTTATTTTTCAAGCTAATAAGTGTTTTGAACTTTTAACACCATTTTAGTCAGAACTTGCAGTCCACAAGAAGAAGGTAGAGGAAGTTCGTTCCTGGCTGTTAGAGAACTTATGCACAAAGGTAGTTAATATACTGGGCTGTACAAACCCTTTGCATGTGACATCAAAGCAGATGGATCTGGGGGATAAAACAAAAGAATTCCAATCTCCTGAGAATTGGGACCTATTGTTTTGTCCCCCAGATTGAGCTGCATTCCGACGTGCTGCAAGGGATCTATTCACCTTTCTCATAATGGGTGGCAAACAAGGTTGAGTGAATGGAAGCAAGGTCATAAAGACCTCACTTCTCTTCACAGTGCATCATGGCGTCCAGAGTGAGTTCTTTATCAAGTATTTCTTGAGGCAAAAGTGAAAGACCTTGACACAGGTAACCAAACAGATGTAGACTTATGTTTGTTTACTAATGAGGCCTTTATGACCTTGCTTGCATGCGCTTGTCCTTAGTCCCAACCATGTTCGGCGGCCATTATGAGAAAGGTGTATAATGGCAGCAGGGGAAAGGGGTTCTATAGGGTAAGGGTACAGTACTAGGGAAGAAAGGGGAGAGGATTTTGTAGCGGGTAAAGAGGAGAGCCTAGAAGTTATAACTGAAGTATACACATGTCTGTTTTTAATTTTATTCTACTAAACACTGGTGAGGGAAGTGAAACTTAGGTAAATGGAACAAGACGAAAAACAGCTGCTGTGGAGTCTGTGAACAACCATAACACTGTCAGGGAACAGTTTTCATTTGATTGAACTATGCACATGTATTTGAATTTTCTCTTGTTTTTCAAGTCCAATGGCATTTTACTTCTTACTGGACCGGTTGGTGCTGGTAAAACTGCTACAATACATGCTCTGAGTACAGAACAGGGGTTCGAGATACAGGAATGGACTAATCCCTTAATACCAAGCATACAAGAAGGTAAGGCTGTGTTCCTTAATCACATGGGTGACAAAGTTCTCCCTCATGTCAAATTCCATTGAGCCATAACATACTTTGATTAGGACAATTGGTCCCACAATGAGCATTAAACATTTTCATTCTCATCTTTTTTACAGTTTCAGATTTTAACACAAGCCAATCCTTCACCCCCAAGTTTGTTTCAATGCAATCACAGCTTGTGTTATTCCAGGAATTCCTTCTACGAGCAAATAAATACCCAACATTATCAATATTTGGGTCTAGACATCAACCAACACCAAAGAAAATTATCTTAATTGAGGTTATTTTATTTTTCATTCTTTCCCATTTTTATCCCATTACTTTCCTGTTCATTTATTTTTTTCTAACATATTTCAGTGAGTAAGAGTTTTTATTCTAATTTGTACTTCCAGGACTTACCAAATATATTTTTCCAAGATGCAAGAAAATTTCATGATGTTTTGATGTAAGAGAGAATTTGCTCAATCGATATTATGATTTCTATAGAGTATGGACAATTTTATTGTTGTATCATCTGTTACAGGATGTATAAGCAAACAGGTCGTAGTCCTATAGTCTTGATAATATCTGACAGTCAACATGAAGAATCCAATGTGCATCGGCTGTTACCTAAGAATGTACAACAGAGTCTTGGAGTAGCTACAGTTAGGTAGGAAACATGGTTGTTTTCATCCATCCATCCTGTTCCATTCACTTATGATATCCATACATCCCATCCCATCCCATCCACCCGTCTATTCATAAATCTTTAATTCTATCCATCCAACCATCCATCCATCCCATGCATCCATCCACCCATCCTATCCACCCATCTTATCCATCCATCCATCCATCTCACCCATTTGATTTATCTATCCCATCTATCCTTCCTTCCTCCTAGCATCAGTCCATCCGTCTATCTATTCTTTCATCTTCAATCCACCCACCTATTGAATTTTTTTTCTCCAGCTTTAATCCTGTGGCTCCTACCAGTCTTGTCAAAACCCTTAATAGAATACTCACTCTAGAAAGTAAGAAGGTAAGAAAGGTTGACAGTGATAATGAAAGTAATGGTGATTATGACTATAGTGATTAATGGTAATGATGATGATGGTGATGATGATTATAGTGATGGTAATGATGATGATGGTGATGATGATTATGGT